TCGTGAGCTATCCATGTAAAATAACGTTCAAGTCGGAGCAGGTGCTGGCCCAGCTACATATTCTGCTGGTTGAGCATTTTAAAAAGTGGCATTGATGTCTGCTTGTGAAGAATGGCGTCATAAATTTAAGTGAGTTTTCTTGTAAAGTTAACCTTTGGCACTTCTCTGCTTGCACATGAATGCAGTGTTCGGCTGGAAGGTTGCTACTAAGTTGTGGGGATTAAAGACTACACATCGCTGACCACTACGGCAAGACTTCCCTGAGGATGTCTAAAGTAGTGCGGGTAAGGCTTTAGTGGACTGTATTTTCTGATGAAAAATAATTTTACTACGTCAAGTGCAACTGCTTTTGAGTGAATGAAACGATTCCAACAGTCAGAACATTTACGATTAAAGCATGGCTATTAGCTCATGCAAATAACCGAGGAAATGAGGACCTGTCAACAAGGGACACCCTTTCCATTGTATTAACTTCTATAAAGGAAACGCATTTCGGCATTTATTTGTAATTTGGATTAATTGAAATTGGTGACAGTTGCAATTTTGAGGGGTTCTGAAACGACTGGCGCTTTTATTGCCAAATTAATGTGCCAATCGCAGATACATTTTGGTAAAGCAAAAAATATACCGCCATTTTCAACAAAGGCATTTTTTCTAAATAGGAAAAGGAACCTGCATTTGCTTATAATTCCCAGTTGGTTTCCAAATATATGGCACTCTGATTCCTTACTTACATTATGAAGTCAAGAGGTGGTACTTATTTTGGCTTTATCAGGTAGCTGAAAAAAGAGCACTTTTGATCGCGAAAGGGCGTAAAGGTGAGGAGACATTGTAATGTGAAGAAACACATGGAATTTGCTTCTTTAAGTGGAATCAACAGTGGGCGTTTGCCGTCTCAGTAGCCTCCTTTTGTCTCCTGCGCTAACTGATCGTTGCTTCAAAATCCCATTCCATGTCCCGTTGACGAAACCGGGTGGTTAGGTTTCGAGGTTACCAGATCGCTCAGCTCCATTCCACTTGGCTTCCGAATTGCAGAGGCTTGCATCACACTAGCACCACTTTCGTGTTGAGAGGGTGAGGACAACAGAACACCCCACTTCAAAAAATTCCTTCCGCTTCATAGATTCTAAGACTGAGTTACTTAAAGATCGAGGCACCATCCCTAGGAGGAAATTCCACTACTCTTCTCAGCAATGACTCAGGGCCCACTACTAAAAGTAACGACGAGAAATTTCGATTCTATGTGTCAAATACTCTTTGTCAAGTGTCAAATTTATGCAAGTCGTGAAATAATCCAAGTTATCAAGTAAAAGAACGAATTTATCAAGACTCTGCGTCCCTTTTGAGTTGGTTACTGTTTTACTGTACGTGATTTTCTAACTTAATGATGGAGAAGAAATGGCTTTGGTGTTGTAACAGTTGTTAGGCGAAAGAGTGTGCTGTTAATTACCTGCATTTCCTTCTAAAATATAATGCTGACGCTTCCAGCCATCAAACGCAAAACGTGGCCGTCGGGTGACCGAGAATTGACTATCTGTTGATTCTGTATCATCCTCCGCTCCATTTCCACCCATCCATCCGTCCACACTTCATAATCACGGCCTTCTTTTATCTACCCGTAAATTTGCGGACTACGGGTACCATCCACGTTGAGGTCTGTCGCCCTAATAGGATGCGTTGCAAAGGTGTCCTGGATAAACCGCCTTCAGACGCAGAGAACTGATAAATCATTAGGAAATTTGGAAGGTCAAGATGAAATGGCAGGGAAGAAATACTACCTCATTTCATTTCTCGGCGTTCCTCTTTTAGTATTTCTCTTTGTAGTTACTGCCTTGTTCCGTTATTAGGCGATCGAATGGGAAATAAGATAGGTAGTTGTGTGGGAAAAAAATCTGTCGACTGCAGCTAAATCTTTTTTTGTTTTAACAGCACGTCACAGCTGCATCCACTTAAGGAAGGCAAAGTCTGCTACTGTTAACTGATATGAGCATGAAATTGATGTACTGGACAAATCTCAAGTGGTGTGCATGCCATTCAGAAGGTGAAAATAGCACGCTTACTACATCAGTTTCTCTTCATTTTCAACAGAAGGATGCCCTAACCGTCCGACGTATGGAGTCACCCTTCTCTCCGTCCAGTTGGCAAGACAAAGATTTCCTTGCCCCTTGGCGTAGCACTCACCTTAACAAGATGGCAGGCGACACACACAGTGTCAATTTTGCGGACCATTCCGGTGGCTTCAGACAGAGTTCTCCAGCTCCCTCCATCTGCAGCAGTCGCAGTGTTGCTGGCAGCAGTACTGTTGGACGTCATGGCATAGGTCCCACTCCAACTGGGAGTTTGATTGTCTTTCGAGTACACTCTGCTATTACTGACGATGCTCAAAGTTTGGTGGAATTTCTGACCATCCTACTGTCTGAGGGGATATTTGAAGAGGGGGAAAGGAGTTCGGTGAATTTTCCAGAACCGGGAACATCAAGTGTAACTAAAGGTGAGGCGAGAGGCAAGATGTGATTGGTTGGAACTTGTCAAGCACATAAAATTGAAATGCTGACCTGAGTGACCTAAGCAAATTGACCCTAGATATCCACACTAACGGATCTGACTGTTTAACACCATGTATTAGAGAAACACACAAATATCTCCTCTCACCGAATTTATTTAATTTAACAAACCTCTATTTTTTAGACTTGGCTTGTGTTGTTCCTTGTTTTTTTTGTCACAGGTCCCAGTCCTTTTCCAATGAGGCACAGGTATCATTGTTCCACAGTTTGAGTTTTTATTAAGAGCCAGATAGCTGTGCTTTGGTTGTTTTTTTTATTTCTACGGCCCTTTTAATTTTTAAGTTAAGGAGAGTCGATGGTCATTATTTTACAAAAAGGCTTTTCATGAGTGGGAAGAAATGTACAACACGCAATCACCTGATGGCTGCGTTTACGATAAGTGGGTGGAAGCGTTAGCATTACATCTGGGGATGAAGTACTGCTTGACTTTGACGAGTTTAGTGGGCGATGAATGACTTGTGTGCGATCAGCGCTCCGCACGTCAGTTGGCAAATGATCCATGTGTTCCATCATGTAAATGATAGCAGTGACAAATAAAGTAATGGTCTCCACTTGATGATCTGCATTGTCGCAGCTCGCGTTAGTCGTGATGGGACGGTGGAGTGTTCTCCTCGAGGTGACGCACCAACCTTTTGGAAACTTGGCTCCAGAAATGAGGTTGATCAGGAGAGATTGACCTGACACTGCCACCAAGTGAATTGTGGCTGGAAGACTAGAGAAGCTCAAATCATACACAACATTTGCAAGCCCTTAAGTAAGACTTAAGTGTCATTTCCAACCCGCTTGCATTTCCTTTATTACCGCTTCTACAGTCATTTGGAAGAAGCTTTTGTTATCCTAAAAAATGAATTTTGATTTGACTTGGAGGAATCAAGCTTTCTTTATGCTAAGCCTTTTGCGGAATCAGATTGTTTTTTGTTCGGACTGATCATTGTTTAAAAATCAGCTAAATTGGCCTTTTTTTAAAAAAAAGTGTTATGTTGCCCGATGTTACCATTCCCAAACCGACGATGCTAACCATGTTTTTGTATTTACCCTTTGACTTTCTTTTATTTTATAACTTGCTGCTTTTAAGAATGGAAATCCGCTCTCTTTACTAGAGATTATCTTTCCATTTTGCCATTTCATAACCGCATTTTCAAATTTAGCTTTTGGATTTCCACCTCAAAACCCCTCTCTTTAATAAGTCGTTCGTCACTTTATTATCTGTTGATTTATTTCTTTTCCTAAATTGACTTTTTTATTCAATGGAAGAAAATGCTAAACTCGACCTGTTATCTCAATTCAAGTGTTTTTGGTCCTTCAAATTTACAATGTAACTGCAACCGGTTGCATTTT